CTAATTTCTAAAATTATTTCTAATTAAGCACCTCTAAGTTCTTCTTTCTAATTTCTTCTTTCTAATTTCTTCTTTCTAATTTCATCCTCCTCCACCAGAGTGACTGCCAGTTGTGCCGTGGTCTTGAGGAAGAACCCAATATCAGAATGTTGTCAATCAGTTTAATTTGTTTAGAGATTGGTGGGTGAAGATTATTAATAAAATAAGATAAAAACTGAAATGTCAAGGAAAGGTTAACAAGAGGCTGCTATAAAGTGCAAACCATTTGCCTATTTTTTTTCTTTCTTCACTCTTGGATTACTTCCAAACTAGCTGCCTTCCTTCATTTCCCTAGAACAAAGAAGCTATTAATCTTGTCATTTACTTTGAAAAACGTTTATGTAATTTAATCCTTATTTTTCTTTAAAACAAATTTTATAGAGTGGTAAGATATTTCAGATGGAGTGAATTTCTGGAATTACTCAAAAGTCTCAGGAATTGTCTCCTGCAATCTTAAAATGATTAATCTTCAAACCTTGAAAATCTGCTAAGATGTTTTTAGTGGTTCTACAACTTTGATTATCTGATTTTTTTTCCTGTAATTCCAGCATAGCCAAAGCTAAAATGACAGAAAAAAAAATTGTCTTACACATTTTTCCTCTTTTCTTATAACCTAAACTCCCACAGAATGCCTAAAGTGGGGGTTAGTTCTGCTTATTGGGACAATTGCTTCAACAGTGAAAGTTCATTAATCTTTCCCAGTGTTCTAAACTCTCTACAACCTTTACAAGTTTTTCTGACTAGATGCATTTTAAATCTTTCAAGGTAATAGAATCTAGTTCACAACACAAACATGATGCAGACATGTTACATTTTACAAAGACACAGACAAAACAAGACAGACAGAAACATCGGTCTAGCTCACAACACAAACATGACAAAGCATGCAATTAAAATGCTAATTTCAACTGGTTCTGAGGCACACAGTACAACAGACACCTACGTGATTTGCAAAATTTAACAAGGATGTGTGGTAAGGAGCAGGAGGCACAAAGAGAGGCCAATTAACAAAAGGTGTGCAGAAAGGATATGCTTTCCAGAGTGATCTGGGATGAACCAGGTCAAGGGAGGGACCCTGGAGTTTTCCTCACAAAGAAAGGTGAGCTCAACCAAAGCATGAGCCTGGAGGATTGGAACAGGAACAAGGGCAGCTGACTACCCAGATGGGGGGGGGGGCAAGTCCCACAGCCAGAGTAGGGGGGGGTTGGATTCTGGAGAAATAAATCTCCAGTGGTGCCTACTCTGTTTTCACTGGTACCAGAAAGTCAAATGACCTGGTTCTGAGTCCAAACCAACTTCTGACACCAATTTAAATGTCATCCAGACCAGAACCAGTCTTTAAACTGTGGGTGGCCAGAGCTGAGCAAAGCAGGCTAGAGACAAGAGAGTCAGGAATCAAAAATTTAACTAATTTCAGAATGAGCAAAACAGGTTTGCAAACTGAAGTCCCCCTGAGGAGGGCTTATGGCTTGTGGCAGGGGTAGGGCTTTTATTCTTGAAAACCACAAAAAGATGGGACCTAACACAATCATTCTTAGGTCTTGAATAAACAGTTCCCATGGCAGACCCACATGCGCAGGCATCTTTCGGACAATACAGGATTCCTGGGTCCTGTGGGCACAGTCTCTTACGTTTACTGTCTCAGGTAATAAAGGTCATTGAGACTTATGATCATTCAGCAGCGTACAGAATCAGAGGTAGTGCGGCAGGAACAAGAGTGCAGCACCTGGTTCAGTTCACTTAGCAATTACAAGAAACAGAAATTGTGAGCATGTCAAGTGATGCTGATTGATCACTTTCTGCTGAAACATATTGACTGCTTTTGGCTGTCAGGTCACTGGAAAATAGGGAATCCCTCAGAGAATACCTGGTGCTGGTCAAAGCAATACATTTTGCCAGAGGGGGAAATCACCCAGAAGGTGATCACAAAGGATTATTGTTATGCCAAGCTCAGGACACAGTTTGCTTGCTGGGCCTTAGCTCTAGAAAATAGGGTGTCTCCTAATATCTTTACAACAGAGAGATAGAAGAACCTAGGGACAGGGTATATTGTCTCTCTGTCACAGGAGGAAGAGGAAGAAAGTAGTCCATCAGCCACAGTGTCTAAAACTACAGAGAGGATGAGGATGGAGAAATCACTATTGGATCTGGCAGTTAGGACATTGGTGACTTCAGAGTTTCAGCAGAGTATTGTAGGGATCTAGCAAGCTGTCTATTCCATGAGACTGCCCCCCTGAAGTTGTGGGGTGGGGGTGGCCAGCAAACTGGTTAAGCCCTGACTCTTCTTCCAACCCCAGGAAAAGAAGGCTATATTGGCAAGGCTGGCAGAGAAGGCCCAGCTCACGGAGAAGATTTTAAACAAGCAACCTGGCATCCACTGTAACCCAGTGCAAGGGGCTATGTACTCTTTCCCCCGCATCCAGCTACCCCCCAAAGCACTGCAGCGTGCAAAGGTGTGAGACAATCCTCCCTTGGGGTGGGGAGTGGGGAAGGGCTATGAAGGGCTGGGGTAGGCTGGATTTAAGGGGCTGGATCCCTCATTCTTCTGTGTGTGTGTGTGTGTGTGTCCGTGTTTGTGTCTCCTCTCTGTTGCTGCCCAGGAGCTGGGCCAGCCTGCTGATATGTTCTTCTGCATACAACTCCTGGAGGAGACTGGTATCTGCGTGGTACCTGGCAGTGGCTTTGGCCAGAAGGATGGCACCTACCACTTCAGGTAGAGGGTGGGAGGTTTCACTGAGAGCTTCAGGCCATTGACTGAGGGGCCCCTTCCAGAGCACTGAGGGGAGATGCCAACCACTGACCTTTCCTCCCCTTCCCTTCCACCCCCAGGATGACCATTCTTCCCCCTTTGGAGAAGCTGAAGATCCTTCTAGAGAAACTGAACCAATTTTATGCCAAGTTTACTCAGGAATATTCCTAATGGACAGAGACTGAAGGGAAAAGAGGGGAGGAGAACTACTTCTGCCTATCCATTATCTAGCTCTTCTCTGCAAATAACTCTTGGGCCCCTGCCTGTTTATGTTTCCCTCCTTTCCCTGTGACTCCCTCTCCCTTCCCTGGGGGCTGTTGGGGAGAGGGTAAGAAATACAGGATGGTGGACAGTGCCCAGAGGTATCAGCACAGACTTGGAGAGAGGCGTGGTCCCTGGCATCTCTCTGAGGATCCCAAGTGAGAGCCATAGGGATCCTTGGGAGGTACCAGGGTTGAGGGAATGAACTCTTGGGCCCTTCTTACAAGGCATCCTAATAAAGATATTGAAGAGGTTCTGGTGCCCCTACTTCTTAGGAAGAACAGTGAAGGGGTACATGACTTTGTGACTCCTGAGGAACAGCAAGAAAGCTAGTTTGGTTGGCTATAGAGTGGAAGAAGGGTATGTACACACACCTATACATATACTTGTGTATGTGTGTCTTTGTGTGAGCATACACATATACATATATGTTGGGCCTAGAGTCAAGAAGACCTTCTTTCCGGAGTTAAAATCCAGCCTCAGACACTTATACTGTGTGACCCTGGGCAAGTCACTTAACCCTGTTTGCCTCAGTTTCCTCACCTGTAGAATGAGCTGGAGAAGGAAATGGCAAACCACTTCAGTATCTCTGTCAAGAAAACCCTAAATGGGGTCACAAAGTCAGAAACGACTCAAAACAACTCAACAACCATTTAATTGAAGAGCTTCTACTTGATTCAGGAGGCAATAGGGAAAGCATAGAGTCTGAGCAGGGGCACGACCTCATCAGACTGGTGCTTTTGGAAAATCACTTTGCCAGCTCTGGGAGGACAGATTGGCTGGGGAAGACTTTGAGTCAGGAAGAACAATGGATTGATTAATCAGCACGCATTCATTCAGTGCTTACTACCTGCCAGACAAGGTGCTGGTCTACGTGCTAAGAACACAAAAGGGAAAGTGAAGCTGTCCCTGCCCTCAGGAAGCTTCCATTCCAGTAGGGCTGACAACACCTGCGCACACGTGTAATACTTATGATAGAGACATAACGTAAGCAAAGCGAATAATACGAGGTACTCTGGGAAGGGATAGCACCTGCATCTGCTGGCTTGGGGGAAGGGCGCAGAAGGTGGCACTCGGGCTGAGTCTTGAAGGAAATCAGGAAATCCAAGAGGCGAAAATGAGAAGGGAGTAATTAGGCCTCCAGAACCGCGAAGGTTGGGCCTAGAGAGGCGCCAGCTGTGTCCCGGAAATCCGTTCAGCGGCTCTTCTAGCCGGCCGGAAGTCCAGGGGACCTTCTAGCCCGCCTCCGTACTCTATGGCCTTGGAGGACCGCGAAGGCGCCAAGTCCCATGGAGCTCGGCCTGACCCGGTGAAGAGCGGGGCTGGGGGTCGCGGTGAAAGGCAGAGGTGGTCCCTTCCTCTGGTCCCGGCTCGAGTTTCCGTGTCCGCAGAACCCCTGGCCACGGTAGCCCCCGGCGGGCACCGGCATGGCGGGAGTCCTAACGTCAGCCTTTCCTCCTAGAAACCCTGTCCACCCCCCAGCAGGCTCCCCTGGGGGCAGACCGAGACCCT